TATATATATATATATATATATATATATATATATATAGTATAGTATATTATAATATAATTATAAATTAATCCGTATATACGTTTATACGTATAGACATTGGTTTTAATACAGTTACAATTCCGTTCAACTCACTTTACCCTCCACAATATCTTTCCTCGATTTTTTTTATCTACAGGAAGGCACAGCGTTGCACGTGTACGTCGTATCGGGTATTGCTGAGGTATGGCTATCATATTGATATATGAAGTTATAAATATGTATACCATGTATCATTATTTTTCATGGTTATACATATCTTTATGTATGCATCCTAAGACATGCTTCGTTTGAAATCCAGTCGTGCAAATCATTGTTAGTGGTTCTGAAACAATTAAACTCTGCGCTGGAGTGTGCGTTCGCCTGTTGTTTCCCGCATGTATGTTCATAGTGTATGTATGTGCACATCTATGCTACCGTAACAAGTATTGTTAGCTTGTGCTGTCGCACGCGTATGTATCCACCACCAACACCCGGGAGAACCCCTAAATTTAAACTTAAATTCAGTTTTAACCTTAAACTCAACCTCAACGGTAACTGCCCTTACACCCATTTCCCCTTTGTTCTCTCACACCCCTTATGTGCGCAGGTGGATGAGATAACCAGCCTGCTGCGCTGCCACGGGTTGGATGCTGTGGCCGACACCTCAGCAGATGCACACGAAGACGACTCCGAACACTGGATCACTGTGGTGGGCTTTAACACAGACATTGTTCAAGGTAGGTGTGTTTGTGAATGTCTGTTCAGGGTAGCGGTGTTTGTCATAGGCCTGGTGTATAAGTTTGTGTTGTGTTTGTGTATGCCAGGGGTTTTGACATTTGTATATGCATTTATGGATGCTTGTCTTCTTCCTTTCTTTGGGGGGTTACTTTCTTTGGTTTTTGTGTGTGTGTATGGATGTTGGTGGTTGTATTTGTGGTATGAATAGAGAGTATGTTTATATGTATATCGTTCTATAAACCATAGCCAACGATAGATAGGTGACTATGGACAATGATAGATAGGTAACTATGGACCATGATAGATAGGTAGCTATGGCCACGAGACGATCGCTAGTGTGTGAGTATGCGTAATTTGTCTACAAGCTACTTACACTGTATTACCTACCTTTTGTAGCACTTGATATGCAAAGTATCGGCTCATTTATTTTTGTTTACATCTCCACAGCCTAGTGCAAAACACTTTGTCCGTCACATTCTTATTCTTATGTCCCATTTTATCTAGCAGACGATCCATTTCTTTCATTTCTTTCACCGTTGCTATTTTTTGGACGATAAATTGCGCAGATATAAAATCTCATTCTTCCTTCCTATATTGTCTAACTAATGATCCATTTTATCTTTCTTTCGCGAATCCTTTTTTTTTTTGTACCATAAAATTGCTCAGACATGTACAAGGTCTACACCGCACAGAACAAAGTGGGCAACCTAGCGTCAGCTCTGAATTACGCGCGCTTCTATTTGGCCGATCTTCTGCCGGGATCAGTGAGACGCGTTATCTACCTGGACGTAGATATAGGTAGGTACTTATGTTACTCCACGTGACAGGTGTACTTACTGTATCTTTCTATGTTATGTCTGGGATTTGAATCTTGTTAATCAGCAGGAGAGGTGTAGAATTTGACGCGCAAGTCGCCGGGTGATCAAAATTGGCTTCAGCATTTAACTAGAAATTACATGGGAGAACTCACAGGCTAACATAAGCCGCCCCTGTTTATATTCATGTCGTATTACTCTCAGTGGTGCAAGGGAATCTCTTTGAACTCGAGCAGTTCACAAGCAACGCTTTCCAGGAAGATGACGAGATGGTCATTATGGCCGCTCCAAGGTATGTCGCATCAGCATGGCACACATATACATGGCCTGAATGTTTCGTTGAGATTACAATTATATATGTTATATGTTATATGTATCTATCTATCTATGGATGTATATCTGTCGGTATGTATATAGGTATGTACGTATATATATATATACATATATATATATATATATGTATGTTATACAATAAAGCCACTCAACCAGAGCGTGGACTCCTCCCAAGGCATCTCCTTCATACATGCTCGTACATGCGAAGCCGTCCTGGCTATGTATGCATTATCTATATATACATATAAGCCTGTCCATGCCCAACATATCTGTGTCCTCAACCATTCAGCCTTTGCCAAATAGTCGTTCTCACTTGCACACCCACGTGCTCACCCTCTCTAGGCAACTGAGTGGTATGTCCAAGGCCTGTCACACAGTGTATTCACAAAGTCATGTATTTGCTAAATAGTCGTTCTCACTTGCACTCCCACGTGTGCTCACCCTCTCTAGGCAACCGAGTGGTATGTCCAAGGCCTGCCACACAGTTTATCGCGAGCACACGGGCAAGGACTTCGACGAACGCCACATGGTCCAGTACAACGCAGGTAACTAGTGATGTGTACGCTCACGTGAAGGGTTATTTATGAATGAGAATTAAAACAAGGCCACATGGTTGTATGATTCTTCTGAGAACTCGCATTTGTCATTCACATACGCGTGTTGGTTAGAAATGACAAAATGTCACCTTTATTGTGTTCCGCTATTCCTGGGCGTAATTGGGATTTCATGGCTGTAGTGCGTGTACAAGTGCAAGGAGTGTCCCACTGTCGTGATGCGTTGGGTTGTACGTCTACAGGCGACTGTAGTCTTAATCGTTGTTTGGGTTCAAGGGAACTGGATTTTAATTCGCTTTTATCATACGGATTGAAAAGATAAGCCATTATTGTTAGACTGGTGTCAAAAGCGTTCGCACTGGTTCGTAGTCTTCATGATGTGTTCTTGTTATTAATTTATGCCTACTCTCATGCATCGCGATGCCTATAAGATACACGTACTGCTTGGTCACTGTGCTTTTGCCCTTTTTTTGCCTTTTTTTTTCTTCCTTGCTGTACATTCTATTGCTTATCATGCCTGCACAATTTCGTTGTAATACACAGGGGTATTTGTAGTCGACCTGCAACGTTGGAAAGAATTCGAAATGACAAAAGATGCCGAGTTCTGGATGGCTGCCACTAAGAAGACCAAACTGTGGGACTACGGGTCACAGCCGGTCATGTGGATGACATGTAAGTAGCTATGTACTTAGTCCTATATTACTTGTTTGTATACATGTGCATTTAAGATATATCCCTGTTTGGATATACGTGAATTCCATATATATATATATATATATATATATATATATATATATGTGTGTGTGTGTGTGTGTGTGTGTGTGTGTGTGTGT